AATTTTCACTGAACTAGTACACATTTTTTAGGGGCCAGCTGAAGCCCGCCTCCAGGTGCGGGATTTTCTCGCTGTGTTGACGACCCATTGGTGGCCTTGACTGTTTTCTGCTCTTTGGTCGGGTTGTTGTCTCTTTGACACATTCCCAATTCGATTATGTTTGTTGTTTTTTTATTGATATGAACTTAACTTACTGATAATTATAATGTTTAAATATAGATTATACCAATGCATCAAGTACGATATGTCTCCTCTCGCGACAATTCTAATTTTAAATTAGTGTGAGAGGCTTGCCGAGCGTTTTGAATAATTATATTAATCTGTCAAGAGTAGAGAAAGTCGTATCGCACGATCTATATGCGGTGGTGGAATATGTTTTCCTGATGATGTAAATATCATTGACATATTTAAGCAAACTCTGTCTTTCTTTTTCAATAATATATATTAAACAGATTGTACATGTTTTACTATCTGACGCCTTCAGAATAGGTCGGCTTTTTTATGAAGTCACAAAATTGAAATTAGAGGAAAGCAAAACCATTTTAAATAATTGAATTTTGTCTTATATGAACTGATACCAAACGAACCATATGATCAAACGTTCATGGAAAGTATAAATCTGCCAAGAATTAGAGAAACTAAAACTTATAAATCATGTGTGGTTTTTTTTTCTGAAGAAATATGAGTCTTATAACAGTAATATCTAATAATTGAAGGAAAGAACCTTATACAACACGTGTTTGCGAAATAACATTCAACAAATACTCTCATGTTCAAAAGTTCAAAAAATAAAGATATCAATTTTTGGGAGCGTACAATTAACAACCAAATTCAACTTTGAACTTCATATTTAGGACCGAAAATTTACAACAAATTCAAACGTATGAGCATTTGAATCATGCCAATATCAAAGTACTGGTACATAACACATTGAAAAAGCAACTTTCAAGCAGGTGGAATTATCTGTGAGTGTTTTGTGACGAAGATTAAAAAACATCAGGCAAAATAATGATATCAATGGATAATTTTAATAAAGAGCTGCGCCATGAGCGCGTGATACGCCCGTCGCTTAACGAATAGAGTTCCATAATCCTTCAATGTCATATCAGAAATTTATATAAAAAACCTAAAGGGAGCTTATTTTAATAGATATAAACCAGTCACCAAAGTTTCATGAAAACTACTCTAAGCACTTTTGAGTTATTGTCCGAAAACAGGAAAATCTCCCCTTTTTATGAATAAAGTCCCAATACTCCAAACTGTAATATCAGTTATTTTAAAAAATCAATGGGAAGTTATGTCAATATATATAAACAATTCATCAAAAATTCATGAGAATTGTTCAAAGCATTTTAAGTTATAGTCAGAAAACTGGAAAATCCACCATTTTTTATGAATAAAATCCGATAACTCAGAAACGTAAAGTCTAAAATTTATAAAAATCGAAAGGGAGCTTACATTAATAGATATTAACAATTCACCAAAGTTTCATGGAATTGGTTAAAGCGATTTTGAGTTGTTGTCCGACATGTTGATGACGGACGGACAACGGTTTACATTGTACCATAATACGCCCCGTAAACGGGCGTATAAAAAGGGGAAAATTTTCATTTACGATACGGATATCATTCGTTGGTAAAGGTTCAAGATTTTATTTGAACTCTCAGACACAGATACATGTGTAACGTGATAAATTATAACTAATAGCATTACATAAACATGACGAAGTAAATAGTATCAATAATATACACATGCCAGGTAGAAATAACAATAGTATATAAATAGATATTTCAACATATTACAACATATTGAAAAAAGACCTTCCATTTATTTTATAATTATCATTTTTTTTGTAGTAGCTCGGTAGAAACTTTTTCCTTAAATCAACAATATTTTTATTAGTACATTTAAATAACAAATGAAATTCATCACCAATATAAATCCTACACAAGGTGAATAGTCTATCATTCCTCGGAATATTTTGCTATCTTCCTGTTTCACCTAAATTAAGTGATCCAAAGCCTGCAATATTCAGGAAGATTTAAAAGGTATTTTTCTAACGTAAACTTTTTTTTTTTGAAATATCGAATAAAATTGTCCTCGTGATCGGAATTTTTGATATCACTGTAGACCACTGTTGTACAAACTGATTCAAGTAAATTTCATCACAGTAGCTCTTTGATTGCAAACATAATTATATCCAATGCCAGTACTGTTTAATGCCGCTTCCATAAAATTAATCCATTTAAAGGTGTATTAATTTTTAGGCTTTAAGCCAAGCATCAATTTATACAATAAACTGTAAACCTTTGATTCATTTTTAACAATTTTACACCATTATAAAACCATTTCACCTTTATCTCAAGAGAAAATTTACCCGATTCTTCATAAACAATAAAATTAGGCGTAGTGTTTCTTTCAGTGCCCTTTTGAAAGATTTCAAGTTAGTCTTTTCAATTTTCAAGTTTTCAAAGCCCCAAACTTCAGCACCATACAATAAGATTGGCTTTGTCATAGAATCAAACAGTTTAAATTGTAGATCCATAGGTATTGATTCATTTCGTATAACTTTGTACTTCCGAAATGTAATTTGTTATCAAGTCTAGAGGGTCTTGATGGGGTTTACAGAATAGAGAATAATGGGCAAAAAGTGCAGAATAAAGGGCAAAACATATAAAGACTAGATAAGAATAGGCCAAAAAAAAAGAAAGAATAGAGAATATTGGGGTGCTAAAATATAAGGAATAGAGAATAATTGGTGATAGACGTCACAATTGAAATTGTTGCAATTTGTCTGTTGTATTTTGAACAACGACGGCAATCAAAATGGACATTTGTGTTAGTACTGCTCGCCAGGAAATTAAAAAAAACTATTCTTAAAGTAATTTTACATGTATCTGTTCATTTTTCATCTTGAAACGGCTGATTTTCTATTACGTTTTGGCTTCATTAATTAAATCAAAATGGCGGCCTTACGAACGTTTATCAAATGTCCGCTTCAAAGTACAAAAGTTTTAAATTTTCCGTTTAAAATCGAAATGATTCTATCATGCAATGCTCTATGCTCATTTTAACATGTGTAGGCATTATTTTTGTCTATATTAGTATTTCTTACTCTATACTACGAATCAAATTCCATTCTTAAAATCAATACAGGATGTTAGCCTATCTGTACGCTTTGTATTGTTGTTTTTATCGAGCAAAAAAAAAAATGCATTTGCAGCAATAATAAACCATTTTAGTCTTATATTTGAATGCAAATGTGTATTTAAAGTTTAACCACAATTTGCATCTTTGTTTTAAAGTTATAGATCTGCACGCTCAACATATTTTGGGATCGAAACTTTTATTTTCATTTTCATATCGTCTCACATCAGATCATGTTAAAGAAATTCAAAAATGTTTTTTTTAGATTCAGCATGACATTCAAGTTAAATAAGAAGCTTGTGTTATTGTCATTGATATTGGCAGTCCCAATATTGCACCTTGCAATGACAAAATTGTTCGGGTACGTATAATAATTGTTGAACTCTAAAATATAGTCATTCTTAGCATCAAGTGCCACTTTTGATGCTTAGTTGCGGCTGCTAGTCAAGTTATATCATACAAATATTAGTAGCTATAATGCTATTCAAGTACTACGTTTTTTACAATCTTTCCGCATTTTTTTTTTAAACAAAAATATTGTATTCAACCTCAGTTTTCCATTACTATATGCTCAGTATTTTCTGTCGCGCTTGTTTCTCAAAACGTGATTTTACTGTAGAATTTGAATTTTTTTTCCGGAAAAAATATTTACTGATCATAATTCACACCATACTGGTACGGTTACCAAATCGTTTAATCGAAACAAATTACAAATTAGATTTTCATACGAAACGATATTAAATGTGAAAAGGGACAACCTATTCACACATGTTTATTAATCAAATATTTCATGCATATTGAGGACGAACACAAAGTAATAGTAAATGCAGTAGCTAGGTTTCGCAAAGTCCGATTAAGTTTGGGGCAGGGTGATGTCGACAGCCACTTGTGGGGGTTTGTTGGAGAGGGACACAACTTTGCATGTTACAGGGCACCTACAGATTCCTCAACAAGTTTTTGTCGCATTCTTAGTATGAAGAGAGCGTGGCACTTTTCTACGTAAGACAACGGATTAAATATTTATTTTCCGATCGGACATGGCTGCGTATTTATGCATCCGGAATAGCCAAAACGACGTCCCTATTTATCATGGATTTACTGCCGGCGAGAATACCTATTGCTACAAACTTTAGATAAATAATATCGTTATTTTATTCCATTCAACAGAGGAATAGGCACTGCAATCATAGACAGAAGTAATTTTTATTTTGATTGGTGAACAAATTCCGTTTATGAAATATTGTGATATTAACTTATTAACAAAAGACAAGAATGTTTCTGATTAAGACTGTAATCTTTAATGTTTGTCGGATATCTTAGATCAATATATAAAGGACTTATAAAACAAATGAAAAGTTGATAACTCCTAAAAAATTATTACGTGAATCGGTGTACATCTAAGAAGTTGAATTGTCTATCTTCTAGTCCTAGGGTAAATATATTGTACACGTTATATTATGTTAACGTTTAAGGTACCTTCAGATTTTAATTACCATTAGATTTACTCAGATCTAAAATAAATTATAATTAAAGTCACATGCGAGGCTAAATCAGAAAAATAAGGAGAAGCTAATGAGTCAACAACTTCAAAAGCATTCAGCACACATCGGCAGATTCAACAAGCTAATGTTAGATGTAGGGTAACGGAATCAGCCGAGGTTTGCCGATTGATTCAAAAGTGAGAGAAGAGGTAGGACAAAAGAAAACTTTGATCTTTTAAATATGTATTTGTTACTCTCTCTGTATATATTTACATATTATTTGATTATTGTAGATGTCAGATTTTGTGTTTTGGATACAAATATGAAACTGAAACGTTTACGGCCACTGACTTCAAGTATTATAAAAGATACATGAAGTATAAAAACCTAGATTTCGGTAAATCTCTTGTTTATTTGCCAAAATCTACAGTGGAAATAATAAACAATAAATCAGTTACGTTTACTACTGGTGATATTATAACCCTTAAAATAATCCTCCATAATGAAAGGGGTGACGTTTTAACTGATGGTGGTGATTTTATAAAAATTTGGATGACTGAGAAAGGCGCAGGTTCAGTGGGATATGTCGTGGATTATGGCAATGGTACATATATTGGAGTGATAAAGGCATTATGGAGCGGATCTCCGCATATCAAAATTTCTTTGTCATTTCCAAAAGAATCTATTGGACTATTTGTAAACTACATGTATAGGAATGGAATGTTGCGGACTTTAAAGGGAGTTTTTAAGAATGCACGTGGAGAAACTGGTAAAGGTTTATGTGGGATTCACACACTGACAAAACATGGCATCTGTGACTTTACATCATTAAATTATGGAATGCGATGGTTTTGTTCATTACCAGATGCACCCGGGTTCAAATGTTCAGACTGGAATGCCGTAATTGGAGATATGACAGTATCGACATTTACAAAGACACAGAAGCACTTCATAAGGTAATACATTTTCATATAAAATGAATTTTCAGCATTTGAGGAAATATTTTCGTTACATGGTGGTTGATCTTCGTTTCATTACACAGAACTATTGTATTTTTTTTAGCAGCGATGGCTGCTTGTTAATATAAAAAATCAATTTCAGTTTAAATGAACTTACTAGTCAAGGTTTAGATAGTTATCGTTAGAATTTACGTAAGACCTTCGTGAAGATATTCTATGTATTTGAAGATTCAAGGAGACAGCTAGCCAACCATCATAAAAATAAGTTTTATTACCTCTAACTTGTTTCTAAAAGTATCTCACATTGCTTCTATTTTCTTTGTATTGCTTGTGCCGATAGTTTCTCATATAAAACAACCATACATTTAGAGTATCATGAACGTAAACTATGTTTAATTGGTAAATTAATAAGTAGGGGATTTCTTAATCACAAATTACGTTATATCTTCAATAAAGATTTTCAATGATACAAAGAGTTGGTTTTAAAATTTGGCTGTACATGAAGAATTATTATAACAAAAGGAAATTCACACATTAATTTTACAGTTATGTTGTTTATAGAGAACGTATATTTAGAAACTAATTATCAAATAAATTTGCACGGTTCATCGCTACTAACCTGGATTTTGCATTTCTATACTGACAAGAACACGTATGGTCCTATACCCTGTCGATGCTTAAATTGTGGCATTGCATAATCATGCTTTTCTCAAACTGGTTATGACGTTTTTACACTAAATACGTTGCATGATTTATGATTGATATTTTAGTCTCAAAAGCTTGGTTGATTTGTTAGTTCAAATTAGTTTTAACTATTTTATTGTCTCACAAATCCGATTTCAATATTTGTGACGTCAGATCAAGGTGCCGAATTTCAGAAAATTCTATTGTGAGGAGAATTTGACATTCAAAAGGACATAAAGAATGGATCTGCAAATTAACAGGAAAAAACTTTGTGCATCTAATATGAGTTATGCAAATGCTAAACCAATCTGTACAATCTAAACTTGATCTCTTTCATTTTTAGCCAGGCATTTCTTGTTTCCTTAATATTAAAGATATTTTAGAGATGCATTATGTGTGTAATTTGATTGAAAAGATGTATTCATATACGTGAAGCCTTTTGTGATTTGCACTTGGTGACGGTTTGACATATACATTTTTTATATGGTCTTTTTCAAACATAGAATCAAAAATGTTTTTTTTATACTTGCAGTTCTACCAGTAATAAAATTATAAAGGAAATTAAAGTTGAAGTACATGGTTGTAAGTTATTAAAGTAATATGTACTATCTTATGCACAGAAATGGGTTTCTCAAAACTGAATCAAACCAGTACTCGATGTTGGCATTATTTGAATGATCATGTTTTACAAAAATGAATTGATCATTAAGTTATTTAAGTAAGTTTTAAGATACAACTGCTTTAAGATGTTTGTGTAAGATTGGCATAGCTGTATTGTTTAGTTTTTATGCCCCTTTCTTCAATTTCTTTTTGTCTATTTGACTCCCCAATCTTTTATTGTCTCGAGCATACCTGGTGGAAAAAAGAAGATACTAAAGTGACGATCACAATTCGTAAGTCGGATACAAACCGATAAGACCATAGTAAACATGGAGAGTTCGCAATTACAAAGCTGAAATCATCTCTTTGGTCGTAACTATTCATGGTATAATTCATGAATTGTATCAGGTATGCGCTCTGAAATCCGTATCAAACATTTATCAGTCAATCAGGTGTCAGGTTAGTACAGTTCATCCTTGTTCTTTGTTAACACGACCTGGTACGAATGAATAAATATCATGTGAGTACGGGACCGTTATGCCTAGATAAGATATTTTTTGAACATAAAAAATCGGACGATCGTACAACAGGCTGTCAAAATTTTCAAAAAGGGATGCCTATTGGGACTATTAAAATATAAGAGGAAAGAAGTTCATCGGCAGTAAAAAAATATCAGAAAAGTGCAAAAAACATAAGCTACCGACTATTATGGTGGACAGAGCCCCTTACCTTATAGATCCATCCCCTGCTAGGGAATTAATAAGGCATACTCACAAAATTATAAATGAGGGTTTATTTTCAGAAGTAAACATGGTAAAACTAATAGCTGACTAAAACTGAATACGTGTTTGATAAAATGGTATCTTTGTGAGAAATTAACGACTCTGTTACCTGCACATATACCAAGACAAAATATTGTTTATTTATTTATTAAACTTAAAGGAAATACTTTTCAGCATTTTCACCAATCTTATCATCTGAAGCCATTTTTAATCTGTATTAAATGTATAAATTTTGCCATCAACATTTCGGTGTGAAAATCATTTCAGATTGCCGGCAAATTGACCAATATGGCTGCCAATACTAGAATCAACCACCAACTGGGACTTTTAAAAAAGATGTGATTTTAGCAAGAGGGACCTTTGACCTGTTGACCCCAAAATCAATAGGAATCTTCTCCTTCCCTATATCTTCCATCTGTATCAGTTTCATTTTAAAGGGCAACTCAAGTAACCATTTCAAAACTACTTTCCCTCGAAAAATGTTTTTTGAAACAGTGACCATGAACTTCGACCTTGCCAATCCATAGAATTTTTTCCCTTTACTATATGTTCCATCTGTATAAGTTTCATTCCAATCAATCAAATGAAACGCAGGTTAACACCCCGAAAACATTTTTCCAGTTTCTCAGTGATCTTGTCCTTTGATCAATTGACCCAAAATCAATTGATTCTTTTCCTTCCATACATCTTCCATCTGTATAAGTCTCAATACAATCGAATTAGGGATGGTCAAGTTATCATTAATCAGAAACTATTTGTTTTGTACACATGGACGGACAGAATGGCAAAAAACGATAACCATACACAAAAGAGTTCGTGGAACCTTGAATAGAATGTTCACATACTAAAATTCAATTAAATGTACGATCCTTTCAAAACCAATTGATCATGATCATACCATTTATATAATTATTAAAGCATTTAGTCTTTTAGGGAGACTTAAATTGTGTGTAATAGTAAACTTTAATGACAATTCAAATCGTCCGTTTGTATTAAGGGTTTTGTAATTACCACTTTAATCGTTTCTTTTTTAGGTATTTAAATATTCTTCTCTTTAAACACGATAGTCTTTATCAGAGAGTAAAAGGATTTCTGGTCAAAACAAAAAAAAAGAAAAAAGACAAGTTGTTTATGTTTGTTTTGGTACCATATTCTCTATAAGTGTACGTAAGATTATGTGTGGCATTGTCATTCCCGTTAAGATTTGTGATTCTGAAATGGTTAATATTGATTCACTTATAGGGTCTTTGCATCGGCACTAAACACATTTATTTAAAAACCAGTTGTTGGCATGACACGGGTTATGTTCTTCTCATATATGTTATGATGGTATGATACTAAACCCCTAACGGGAAGGATTGTGCCTGATATTCATATGATGAAGACATAATCTTTCAATCAGTTTAATTGAAGTCTGGAGCTGGCATGTCAGTTAACTGCTAGTAGTCTGTTGTTATTTATGGATTATTGTCATTTTGTTTATTTTCTTTGGTTACATCTTCTAACATCAGACTCGGACTTCTCTTGAACTGAATTTTAATGTGCGTATTGTTATGCGTTTACTTTTCTACATTGGCTAGAGGTATAGGGGGAGGGTTGAGATCTCATAAACATGTTTAACCCCGCCGCATGTTTGCGCCTGTCCCAAGTCAGGAGCCTCTAGCCTTTGTTAGTCTTGTATTATTTTTAATTTTAGTTTCTTGTGTACAATTTGGAGTTTAGTATGGCATTCATTATCACTGAACTAGTATATATATTTGTTTAGGGGCCAGCTGAAGGACGCCTCCGGGTGCGGGAATTTCTCGCTGCATTGAAGACCTGTTGGTGACCTTCTGCTGTTGTCTGTTCTATGGTCGGGTTGTTGTCTCTTTGACACATTCCCCATTTCCATTCTCAATTTTATTACTCTGTTTCTACATTTCAATGTTTCGTGGTGTTTACCTTTTGTCATTGGGTGTCTATTTCTGGGTATTTTTCTTTTTCAGCTTTTTGAAAAGATATTGATTTTTTTATTGCAGATAAAACCATAAACCACCCAGAGTACTCCTGTAGACAAATAAATCCTTCAGTCACATGGAACATCTCGTCCCCAGTTGGATATGTTTATAATAAAACATGGCATAATCTCTTATGCCAAAACACAGTTGAACCAAGTTATAACAGGTATTTATCCTGTCTTAGGAACAGGGAGATTTACATGGTTGGAGATTCTACAGTGCGACAATGGCTTAGTTCAATGGCTGAGATTTTTAATCTTGCACTCTCGGTTAAACGGACATCAGCTGCTCTACGAGGCTATCATCATTTAATCAAAGCTTGTAGTAAAAATAAGAGAGACAATATTACTGTTACGTGGGCTCCGCACGAGTTCCCATTTTTCACTTATAAACCTAATGCGACAATACATCAGTTTAAGCCTGCAGGATATCACCTCAACGTAATAAGTTCTAAAAATCCGATCGTAGTACTGCATTGGTATCTACATATAGGTCTTGTTCCATTGTCAGTTTATGAAGAACATGTAATGAACGCTAAAGATTCTATAGTTAAATTCTTGGATCGTGTGCCTGGCGCAAAAATATTCATTAAAGGCCCACATAGCTTAGAATATAATAACGGTGTTCCATATGATTTTGTCAGATATTTGCAGGATAAAATTATATTCAAGATTTTCGATAATATTAAACATAAGGTTGTGTATTTAAACGAATGGGATATGACAGTTGCTTCCGAAAGTAAAGCTATACATCCTTCGAATGATTTAATACATCAAATGGTACAGGATTTACTGTCTTATATTTGTTAATATTTTTAACTTACAGACTATCCTTCTATGTGCTATAAGAATAAAAAAAAAACATTGATGTATTACATTATTACACACTTTACGACGGATAATAAGCAGGGCACAAATATATCTAGTTAAAACACAAGTCTCCTAATAAACTACCTTTTAATGTTGTTATATAAATTAAGGGACGACATCAAAAGTTCAATGTAGGATAAAAAAAAACTTAATTCACATAGTTTTTTCACTGACCCCCACCCCCCTCTTAACTTAATTTGGGAAAAATTGATTGACCAATATGGATATATGTAAAATCGATTTTGGATAAACAAAACTTTCAGCAATTTTAACCCCCCCACCCCTAAACTATTTGATTTAAGTTTTTTATCCTACATTGATCTTTTGATGTCGTCCCTAAGTCTGTTGGATTTCCTTAAATGCATTTTCAGAAATTTCAGCATATTCTAGCTTTGAAATAACATAAATACGAAGACTGAGACACTTACACACAAAATACATTTTTTTAAAGTGCAAAAAAATGTAAAAATGCATATTTTTCTTCCAGATACAGAAAATAATTATTTTGATTACAGATGTCGATCGATGCAAAATTTACAAAAACATGCAAAAACTTGCAATATTGTGATTTTTAAAAACTCAAACATAGAAATTTTCGATTGATTAATTGGTTGTTTTAACACCTATTTCAACACACTTGGCTAAAACATGGCGATCAGTTTATTTTATGGAGGATAAGTTCATCAAAGATACCAGACTTATCATTTTTAACGCCAGGTGCGCGATTAAAAGTCATGAAACTTAGCAGTGGTGCTCGAATTAATACAATTGGAATGCCAAATTACATAGATTGAAGTTGAAGTGCATCAAAAACCAAAATTCTGAAAATTTGTGCCAAATACGACTAAGGCAGGGCAGCCAGAATGTACGGAGAGTATCATCGACCTTCGACAAAAACTGTCAACCCTAGTCAATTAAGATCGGAGTCTTAACACAACTTCCCACGAGCACGACATATAAGTTTTAACAGGCTAGTGATCACTGTTGACCACCGACATTTTTTGGAAATGAGAATATAAATGCTAGATAGAAAATAGAATAGCAATATACCAGAGTATTCTATGATTGATTGGTGTTTAACGCCACTTTCAGCACTATTGGCTATTTTGTGGCGGTCAGTTTTTATTGATGGAGAAAGCCGGAGTGCCCGGAGAGAACCATCGTCTTTTGGCAGGAAACCTGACAATCATTATCAATTAAATATTAGGGTCGAGCGAACCTGTCACGTGCGGGGTTCGAACTCACAACCTCAATGTTAAAGACAAGTGATACAGTAGTTGAACTACTTAGACAACTCGGCCACCAAGTTGTCTATGCATTACATAATTCACACAATAGAACTTTATTCAAAATGGAAAGATTCTTAATTTGTCATTCGTCTAGTATATCACTGGTAAACAGTGGAGTTCGTCCATGGTGCTATAATCAAACAATTGGAAGCTCAAATCAAATGCCAAAGATCATTGAAAACCTCGCCAATGAATCTGCATTGTAAGTTTAAATGACTGAAAGTAAAAAAAAATTGCATTTTGTTTATATTATATTTATAACATATGAATGGAACAGAATAAAAATCAGTTTACTGAATTTCTGTTTTCATGTTTAAAAGGTTAAAGTTTCACGACAATCGTTATCTGAAAAACAAAACTTGTAAAGTGTCGTTTTTTAAAAAACACGTTTTAAATATAAATTTGAAAAAAAGTCACATTAACAAAATAAAAGAAGAATGTGTTTGAGGACACGAATGCCCCCGCTCCAGCTTTGCATTTTCCAAGTTAAAAAGGGGCATAACTCTAGAACAGTAAATGACTCACAACCCAAATTCAATCTCTGTCTGCATGTTGCGGTTCTTAGCATGAGGTATGAGACAAACGTAAGTTAGAGTGAGGAAACCAAAAAGAAATTCAATTTTCCAAGTTATAAAGAGCATACTCTAGAAGGCAGGTAACTCATTGCCCAAATTCGAACTCTGTCTGCGAGTTTTAGTTCTTAGCATTGTGTTTGAATTTCATAAAATTTGCATGAGGCAAACTTAAGTTAGAGTGCGGAGACGAAAATGGGACAGACGGACGGAAGAACGGAAGGAAAGACGGACCGACGGTCAATGGTAACATGTAATGCCCCCGTTGCCTACGGTGGGAACATAAAAATGTTGTTTTTAATTATTTACAAACAAACAAGTAACACTAAAAGTAAAAGTGCGTTTACTTTCAAGTCAATGAATAAATAAACGGGTGACATTTATAGGACGACAGGACTCTCTTATAACGTTTTGTATACATTACCATGAATTTACGTTTCGTGGTTATACATTTGCAGTATATGGCTTAACCTTGACATTTAATGGTTGTGTCTTTACTTAACATGATTTTGCATAGACGTGTTGTATTTTCTTGAACGTTTTGTATATACGTAGGTTTCCCGTTACGTTGTGTAGGTTTTGCCGTTACGTTTTGTAGTTTGCCGTTACTTTATGTGGGTTTGCCGTTCGTTATACAAGTTTTCCAACGGGAGGGATTTTGCTTGATTTTCATATGATGAAGACATAATCTTTCAATCAGATTAATTGAGGTCTGGAGCTGGCGTGTGAGTTACTGCTAGAAGTCCTTAGATTAATTTATGTATCATTGTCATTTTGCTTAGTTTCTTCTGTTAGCTATTCTAACATCGGACTCGGACTTCTTTCAAACTGAGTTTTGCTGTGTGTATTGCTGTGTATTTGTTTATTTTACATTGGCTAGAGGTATAAGGGGAGGGTTGAGATCTCACAAAACATGTTTAAACCCGCCGCATTTTTGCGTCTGTCCCAAGTCAGGAGCCTCTGGCCTTTGTTAGTCTCGTATGTTTTTTTAATTTAAGTTCATTTATATGTTTCGGAGTTAAGTGTGACGTCCATTTTAACTGAACTAGTACACATTTTTGTTTAGGAGCCTCCGGATGCGGGATTTCATATACAACTATACCAGTCATAATTACGTTCGATAACTCTGCATGTTACTGGTTTAATTAGGATTATGAAAAATTTACTGGTAACCCGTGTGATGAATGATTTAGAAAATTGAAAAATATAGCTATTTCACCTCGGGGTTTCGATTTTTTTTTTATTAATATAAAATAATACCATAAAAAAATTTCTATAAGAATCGGACCATACTAATCTACATAAGTCTTGTCAAAACTTACATTATCTTACATTGTGATTAGGTGCCGTGTTTGTTTTCTTGGATCACGTTGATGACTTACTATCTCCTTAATCAAGTTATGTCCTTGGGTATTATTAGAGTGACAATAACGTGTCATATTTAATTGCAATATAAACAGTGAAATTAAATTGTGTTATTTGCATGGGCAAAATTAGTGTCGAACATCGTCTACGTTTGAAAATTGTTTGGTCGCCATTTTTTTACGTAACTTCGAAATTTTATCAAAACAAAAAGCATGTATCCACTTTATCAAAGAGGCAAAATATTTGATTCTATGCTGCTTTAAGGTAAGACAAAAACTAAAAACGCATGCATCCAACAGTTTTTTGATTTTCATCGTACAATATATATTTTCACAAGTCGACCTACGCTGTCAACATGGTCAATGTAAACAATGCATGGTTGATGCATATAAATCTTTGTTTTGAGTGCGAGAGAATGTTTCTAATAAATATATTAAATTAAAGGTGAAATAAGAAATTTCTAAAAACAATAAGATACACTTTAATAAATATTTCACAAATTACTTTTTAATTAATTGCTAAATGAATACACGTTGTGTCTTTGTTTACCTTCGACATCGGCCGCCATTTTCAAAATATTGTTAACGAATGCCAAAATGTTAACTTTTCAATCAAATTTTGAAGCAAAAGGTTTGTTACCTAAACTGATTTGGATTTGGATTTCATGTAAATGAATGTGTTGTCGATCTTTTTAGGGGTTGGAAGGATATTATTAACAAATAATAAGTTGAGAAAATTGATCATATAAGAAGGTCCCATTGCAATTTTATTGAGTTTTAACGAAGAAGTCAACGGAGGCTGTGTGGTTATGTCACCTCCATTTTCAAACTTAATTTGAAGCAAGAAATCATATTTCTGAATTAAAACTTAAAACATATTTAATTGTAAAAATGAAAATACTATAAAACGCGGGGTTGGAAGGTAAAATACACAATGTAACAAAAAAGTTATGATCATTTAATCTATGTAGCCCGTTCATTTTCATTGATAATCAATCGGCCATTAACGATATACAACTGAATTGTAAAAGTCACGTGATGACCGCGATAGTTGGATATGTTCTCGCTGTGTTGAAGAGCCATTGGTGGCCTTGCGTATGCTGTTTTCATCATTACAATATGTAGTACCATGGGTACTAGGGTACTAGAGGTCATTTGTGATTTGTGCTTAATAAAGATTTTTTTTTTATTTTATTATAACAATTACAATTAGTATACAGGGCATGCTCAGTTGATTATTTCTTCCTTAAGCCAAGTTAAGGTAAAAGTAAATAAAGGCAATAACAAATAGTGTGAAAAAACCAACACCACAATTAGAAACAAATCTACTTTGGGCTAACCTAAAGATACATATCACGGGGGACCACTAAGACACTTGCCTTCAACCTATCTTTGCTACTTATTCATTGCATTTAAGTGTAAGTTTGTATGTTTACATTATTGTTTAATTATCTTCTCTAGTATCTCACAAATTTATAAATTTTATTTTTAACTCTTCGTTTTGAGAAAATAATATGGTGACATCTGCGAAAAGAATATGATATATGCGATATTGACGAGTTTATGAACTGTCCTTTTTAATCTGTTTTTAAATAAATGAATAATTTATTTCAAATTTGTAAAATTTGTAAATTGTTCATCAATGTTTAACGACATTTTAGCACACTTAGCTAATACATTGGATTGTCGGTCAATTTTTATTGGCGGGGAATTTC